AGTAATTGATAAATAAAAGAGGCAGAAAATCAGTAAGGATATAGTTGACCTAAACTGCACTATCAATCAACTTGAGCTAATTGCAATTTATAGACTACTCCATCCAACAGCAGCTGAATACATATTCCTCTCAAGTTCACGTGGAACATTCCCATGATGGACCACATTTGGGCTCATTAAATACACCTTAACAAATTTGAAAGAATAGAAATCATACAAAATATGCTGTCAGATCTCAATGGAATTAAACTAGTAAACAAGAACAGAAAGATAGTTGGAAAATCTCCAAATATGTGGAGAAAGAAGGGCCAAATGAAACATAGAACTGGAAGAAAGCAGGTACTCAGGAATTTGTAGTCACTGTTCCTCTGGTGTTGGTGAAGAGGATACCTTGGGGAGAGAAGCCCTGTTCTGTTATTATATATAAAAAAGAAAATAGGTTGGAAATGAGAGTTCATTATTCTTCTTGAGAATTTATTAAGAATTCTCTCAAGATTGTATATCAATGATACTTTAATAAAAAAAAGAATTGTTTCCTATGCCCTTGTAGAAGCTGACCTTGTCCAAAAAATGTAGTCAGTCATTACTGTAGATTCAGTGTTTGTGAATTTCCTCCCTAATACTTATTTGTAACCCTGAAGTCAATGCTCACAGTGTTTTCATGGTCATTCATGGTTATAGGTGGAGTGGTGAAAAATTTAAGTCACCGACTCACACATTCCCAGCTAAGGTTGATCCAAGTGACACTCTGCCTTCTTGTTTCAGCTCTCATACTATAAACAAGTTCCTTTTCAACGGTCTGTTTGGTGCCATGTTTTTTGCATATTTGTACTTGTCTTTTTTCGTGATTTTGCTGTTTAAAATGACCTCCAAGGATAATGCTGAAATGCTGTCTAATTTTCCTAAGTGCAAGAAAACTGTGACATACCTTACAGAGAAAAAATGTGTGCTAGGTCAGCTTTATTCAGGCATGAGTTAAGTGCTGTTGGCTGTGAGTTCAGTGTTAATGAATCAGTAGTATATATTAAATAACATATTTAAAGTGACACAAGTAAAACAAAGTTATGAACAAACATCAACAAAAAAAAAGGTTAGGTATTGCCCATTGATGAAAATGTGACTGGAGGTTCAAAAGAATCTAACACATTATTACCCCTGGGAGCAATGGTTCAGAATTTGCTAGTTCAGTGTTTGGAATGACTTTATAGAACATAACTAGAGTGAGAATCAACTATAAGGACAATTTTTGGTACCTACTATATACTAGACACTGGACTGCATGTAACTTACAGAAAATTTATTTAACAAATACATATAAACTTTTCCAGTGTGGCAGACTTGTGCTTAGGAATAAGGGAACAATAATATATAAATGAAAGACCTCACCCTTCTTTCCTCATGGAATTTTTATTCTGGTAAGGGCAGAGAGGAAATAGACATATAAATGTATAATATGTTCATGATACAAGTGCTATGAAGAAACCTTTCATGCTCTGGTATGTAGATTATGTAAATAAAACTCAGAGAAGTTAACTAAGTTCTTATGAACACAAATCAAAATGAAAAGAGCCCAAATTCAAGCTCTGATTTTATGGCTTCAAAACCCATGCTCTTTCAACTAACTTACACTTGATCCTTCTCATAAATGTACATACAATAGCTTCTTGGGAGGAGAACTGCTTCTAGCTCCAGGGAAGAAAACCCTGTGAAAGTATAATAATTTTAGTCTGTAGAGCAGTGGTTTTCAACTTGGGGGCCAATTTTTCTTCCTCATGGGACATATGACAATATCTTAAGACAGTTGTGGTTATCATTCTTGGGAAGGGGTAATACTGGCATCTAATGGGTAGAGACCAGGGAAGGTGTTTAACATTCTACAAAGTAGAACAAAGAAATATCTGGCTCTGATAGTGCGTAGGTGGGGAAACTCTGCTCTAGAGCAGTGGAACTTGGGAAAAGCCAGAAAAGCTACTTCCAAGTAGCTAGTTGACTACTCAGGTAGGAAAATAAACACTTTGATATCTCGGTTTCTAATGATGAGATTACGTGCTCAGTGTTATCCTGCCATTGTCAGTTTAAGGTCTTCCTAAATCTGAAGTACTTTCACTTCGGTTGTCAATTTATTCCTTTCCCAACAACCTCATCCTTTCTAAGCTGCTTCAGAATTGTATTTAAGAACTGAAGAAATGAAAATAAGAAAAGGAAAGGAAGAAATTGTTGACAGAAAATACGGAAAGATAGACTGAAATGTAAGCATCTGAAAGAGAGCTTTGAGTAGCCCTGTTATGTTCTTCCTTCTTCCCTTTCTGCCTTTCATCCTCCCTCTAGATCCCCTCTCTCCTCCTTTCAAAAGATACAGTTGAGTGTTTTTACTCTGCTAGGCATGGTGTATACAAGAGTATCTCCTAAGGGTATTTTATTACTAATAAACATTGTATTTTACAAAGTATTTTTTACAACTATTATCTCATTTGAGTCTTTCTCTTAAGTCTCATTTCACAGATAAGTAAACCAAGACTCTGTGAGCATATGTGAATTTGCCCAAGGTAATGGTAGAATACTAACTCCTGTCTGTAATGCTGACAAAGGTATGAAGATTATGGGCATATGTGGCTCTGCATTGCCCTATAGTTATGAAGGTATAAAAAATGGCATCTATTGGGGATTATAAAATCACATAAAACACATATTTTAAAGAAGTGATGCACAGTCTTTGGGATTTGTAATGAAACCTACTCAAAATAACACTAAAATGCCTGGTCTATTGAACCACTATTAGGTATGGAGCACTAACATAAAGTAGCTCATTTAAGACCCCAAAATATCTTATGAGCTAAAGTTCACCTCAGTCTGAAAGAGGTTGAATAACCTGAGTAAAAGTTAAAAGGAATATAACATAAGTAAAACATTCTGAGTGACTTTCCAATTGCTTTGAATTTATTAACTGTAGTTAGCTTTAGCTACAGATGAATAAAGGTCCCATCACAAAATCATAAATTTTAATATTTTGGTTCAAAAAGTCAGTACACAAACAACCAAGATATTAATTAACCACTTTGCATACATCCTAACAAATTTATTCAGACCCTGCGTTTAAAGAGAAAGTGACATTTCTGACTAAATAATTTAAATCCAAATATTAATATTAGATTAGCAACTGTTTCTTTAGGGAATTCATTCATCAGGAAAACCCATAATCCAGCCAGTGCTTTTGTGCTCTTCTAAGCCAGAGCAATTGTTACAGTACTGGCTCTGATTGGCCTTTTAGAAAATTAAAGAGTTCTGGCAACCTCTAAGTCATGGATCTGAATCATGTCTTATTTAGGGCTTGCATCTTAATGTCAGTTGGGACACTACTGGGAAATATAAGATGGAAATTTCATGGTAAAGTTGGAGTTACCTCTCTTTCCCCAGTCCATAGAGGAACTTGTTTTGTGTTCTAAATTCTGTCTCTAAGGCAAACAAAACAGAGGTGATCCCCTAAAACCAAATTTTTCCAGCAACTAAGGTTCAAATGAATGTGGACACTTTCAGATCTTCTAAAGGTAAATTTTCTAAATAGTGTAATTTCTGTCATCTTTGGTTTTCAAGATGAATTAAGACTTGATGAAAAAATTACATCTGGAAATGATAGCTTGAAACCTCGAGAAGGGATGAAATTTATGCACATCCCACATATTCAATTTATTTTCTCAGTCTATTAGGAACCAGATTTGTTTTCTATTATTTCTGTGGACTCATGCTTACGATGGCTTATTTCTTGTTACTGATTTTTGATTCTCAACTCATTTAGAGGAAATTTGTCATGAGACCTGAATTTAAGTTGCATCTCTCTAGGAACGGTATGTGTTTGCTTTTGCTGGTTGCTTGGGGTCACTACCAACCTCAAAATAAATGATCCTTTGGAAGTTTTGTGGAAAACATTGTTTGAATTAGTCTGCAGACATACTTAACTGTTTCTGGTTACAAAATCTCAACTAAGATTTCTTGCTGACTCTTGTGTAGGGTGATTTTTTTCTTAATTTACCTTTTCAATGAGAATATGAACATCACACAGACTTAGGCAGAGGTTTCTATTAATCATTCAACCTTGGACAAAGTCCATTCTTTGTCTCCTGTCATCTGCAGCTAACAGTTCTATCAGAATTGAAGCTCAAAGACACCAGATAATGGCAACTAGCAGTACCAGAGCTCAACTTCTCTCTCTGGATTCTTTTTTAGCTTTAAATATTTTTTTCTTTTTGCCTCAGAATTTCACTCATTTCCTGTCAAGTTAAGTTGACATATATTGACAATTAGCTATATTTACTTACAGCTAGCATTTTGTTATTCCTAGTGGGACAGTTTTACAAGTAGTCTAGTTCACAGTACTGCCAGAAATAAATAATTACTGTCTAAGGTTTTATAAGTCTATCATACTTCTATATTAACTTTTTCATTTATAATATATTCAGCTATCTTTTCATATTAGTGTGTATATATTTGCCTATTTTTTATGGATACATAATATTAAATAAAATGGATATACCATCATTTATTTAACACATTCCCTACTGGTGGATATTTAGGTTATTTTCAGTTTTTTGTTTTATTAAATAAAACCAATCAACATGTATATGTTTACTAATTTGTATATATAAATTAAATCTCCAGAGCTAGAATCTCTAGGTTAAACAATATGATATTTTTATATATATAAATTTTGTTATTTATTTCCAATTTGCTTTTCAGAGTTTGTAACAACTAATTTGAGAGAGAAAGAGAAAATCATTGTGCCTGAATCCTTATTACCTTGTCAACATTGGGTTTTACTGAGCATATTATTATTAATTTGAGGGAATAGTTTCTTAACTTTATTCTAGAATTTATTCTGTGGAGACAAAACATATTGCAGAAATATGCATGGACTGTTTTTAATAGATATTTTTCATGCCAGATGAAGAACTAATTTGAACCAATTTTTCACACATACAACTGTGGAATATAGTTTGTTAAGGGCAATGCCATTAGATTTCTCATCTGACTGTGAGTGTCCTAACTGCTTGGAGAGTATACAGAATGAGTCTGACTGGAATCCCCGTTTCAACAAGAGTAATAATAACTCTTGATATTCAAGATTAAGAAAGAAGTCCATGCGTTCTTCCAGTGTACAGTGCTTTCCTTCTCAGTGTTGTTCTACCAGGCCAGAGAATGATACCAAAGAAGACCAATCTGAATCTTGAGGGCCTTACAAGGAAAACCAGACCACTGAGAGAGGTGACTACCCAAGAGTTACTGAGTGAGTTTGGGGATATTGGGAAGTTCCAACCAAACTCCATGTCTGTAGGCCACTTTAGAGATCAGGTGGTAATGAAGTTCAGAAGAGCTCTGTATTATTCTGGAATTTGGGTGACACATGTTCAAGGCTACAGACTTGAAAAGCACTTGTCAGCTAATTATTTCAAGAGAAATCCTGGTTGCCTACATCGGCTCGTCCCTTGGCTGAAACGGGAACTAACAGCTGTTTATGGAGATTATGGCTACACGGTGAAGAATATCCTATCTACCATTCTCCATCACATGACAGAATATGATCTAGACAGTGAGTCCTTCATTCACCTTCTGGAGCCTTATCTCCAAAAACACACCCACCATTTTCTGCATGAGTTTATCAGTTTTGTTCATTCACCTTACAACATGGAGACCTATGACTAATGAGCCATCTATCAATGTCCTTCTGCTTCACCATGGGTAAAAAAGAAGTCCAATACATCAGCTCCTGTTTACTCTTTGCCTAAAGATCATGCTCTACTGGCATCTCAACATGATACAATGCAGTCAAAAAAAGGCCAGGTCCAGTGGAATAATGAACAGAAGCCCCTGTCAGGCTTGAAAGAGTTTCCAAATGGTAACTCAGCCTTGATGAAATCTGAAATCCCACTATTCATAAAACAGCAAGCAAAAATCATGCTTGGATCAAAGACAAGCCAGGATCAGGTGATCACAAAGGCACAATTTCTATTAATAATATGCTCCTGAATTGGGCTACACCAAAGGAAAGGAGCCCAGGTTTACTGAATTGCAAAAAACGTTCAAGAGAGGAAAATAGATGGGATTAAGTTGCTTCCTGGCCATATCCAGGATCTGGTAAAGAGTGAAACAACTGCACGCACCTTCTGTTCCCCAGCAATTTTTCATCAGGGGCAGCCACAGAAGTCTAGTCTAAGAGAAAGAAGGGTTTTGAGCCATGGCCAACAGATTAATATCCAGAAAAAAGAAGCAGAAAAAAATAAACCCTCAGAATCTTCACCAAAGATCTTTCAAAGATTGCCTACAGAAAGATCCTTGATAAATTGCAAATCCAGAAAGAGGGACATCTCTTGGAGTTGCACTTCAGAAACTGCCCTTTCTTTTAAGAGAGATGATAGGAAGCTGAGCTATTACAGAAAAAAGAGAATGAAGTGCAGACAGTGCCCCCAATCTGCAGAGGCTGGTTCACACTTCAGCTGAAGCATCCAAAGACAGTCAAGGTCCAGTGCTTACAGATCCAAATCCTGGTGTGTTGAACTTACAGAAAGATCTGTAAGCAGAGAATCAAGTAACTCCTCTTTAAGAGAAGCCACAAAAGTGAACATTGCACTCAGTATATATACTGTGAGCCCTCAAAAGAAAAGAATGTCCATGGCTATGAATCTAACTATGGGAGGACATCATCAGCCACAGTCCAACACGTGACACTTCTTCAACTGCTGGGAAGAGACCCAAGTGCCCTAGAGGTGACTGGCGCCTCCCAGGCTGAAAGCCACTGTGACAGTCTCAGATGCCTGCAGCCTGAGAAACACAGATGCCTGAGCAAACAAGAGAGGAAGGAAAAGGTCACATTTCCTGGAGCTGGAAAAACCAGAGAGGTTAGGCACAGAAAAAACAAATGCCAGTGGTTAGATATAACCACAAAGGGAGTCAGTGATAAAATGGGGGATCTGGAAGATGCAAGACAATGGAGTAGTCTTTCTGAGTGTGCACCTTCCTACAGGTGGCAAATCCAAAAGAAAAGCAGAATTCAAGCCTGCAGAAATGTTACCTCGCCAAGAAAGGAGACAAAATATCAGAATCACTGAAGTCCAAATTGTTTTAAAAAACAAATCAGTCTACTCAGCTAACCACAAGGATCTTTAAAATTATGAATATTATCTGAAAAAGATTGCTGAAAAGACTGATCCTTTTACTTTATAACTGAAACTAAAAACCCGATTAAATTCAAGGCCATTTGTGAACTGGTCATATATGTAAATATTATTTGTCTATTTTTTCCCTATGAAATGAATTTTAACAATATTTGACTCATTTTTTAGTTCCCAGATTTAACTATGAAGATTGACTACCACAAGCTACAAACACCCCAGACTATACTGACAATAATAGTATGTTTCTTAATACAAGTTATGCATATTAAATAGTAGTAAACATGTGTTATTATATTATATACAGGTGTGTGTATATATATGTGTGATACACACACACACATATATATATTATAGACCTAATGCATTTTCAGTCACTGGAAAATAAAGAGGCATGGCCACTGTCTTAAGATACAGTCATTATCTTCAAGGATTTTACACTCAAGTTGTGAAAACACATGCAAATAAATAGGAAAAAAATGAACATTTATGGGATATTTGGCACTACCTTCCTGTCTCTCCATCCTGAAAACTGTTTCTTCACATACCCTGACATCTGGATATAGTAATTAAAAGTTGCCATATTTTTAGATGACTGATTCTCTACCCACCACACCCTGGCCCAGTGATGGTGACTATACCTATGCCAAACTAATCACAGCATTTTGCTCCTCTGGTCACCCAACTGATGAGTCCAGCAGTGGTCAAGTCATAGTACTTCCTTGATATTTTCAACTGGTTCTAATAAAAATAATCATTCTCCTGACTTACTGGCATATAGTACAAGATTTGAAGCTTGGATACCATTAAGAGCTAAAATTTTCAATTCGTGAAGAAAGCCAGTTTGAGGTAAGAGATGGGAAAGCTAACAAAGTCATGAGGAGAGAGTCTGGGAGTTAAGACCTGGATCTTACAGAACTTCAAGTGTCTTCTTGCATCTCATGTGGCTTTATTCTTTAAATCTTCTTTAGGTTTTCTGAGTCCATATATTTCCTCTCTGCCTCTCAGGATTTCCAGTTACTTGCAATCAAGCAATTCACGGGGAAGTGGCACAGTAGAAATCTGTGAGGAATATAGATAGCACAGTGCCCTGAGGGGAAGTTTCTGACAGCTTCTTGGAGAAGTGCTATGTAAGTATGGTCTTAAAGAGTAAGCAGGAGTTTTCCAGGTGAATGTGCTAACAGGCTCTATCAAGAAAAATGCACAACTTGAAAACCAAGGAAGAAAAATAAAAATTTCCAGCATTGTCCCTCCAGTGTAACTGGGGAATTGAGAGATACACTGAGAAGGGAGGCTGATGCCAGGGCGTGAACAAGAATAAAAACTGGCTTTTCTTGTCCTACAGCAGACATGAAACACCTGAATGTAGCAGAGGCTCAAATTTTATCAATTTTTTAAAAATAATAATTTTGTTTTCATAATTCCCTGTTGAAAATAATTAATACATGTTCCTGCAAAAAATCTTAGAAAACCTATGTAACAGATAAAAATGTGTTCTAGTACATTCATTTGTGAACATTATCATATATATTTTTTATATTTCTTTTTTTTTTAATACATACTTTTATGAAGTTAGTTGAGCAGTTGTGGTCCACTATCAACCATAAGCTAAGCCTTTCATGGTAAAGATTTATAGCAATATACCCAAAGTCCTGAAGTTAGGAACAGGAAATCAATTGTAGTGTTCAAGGTCACCACAACTTAGCAGTAGTTAATATTTAAAAAGAAAATAAAACTGTTATTGTCGTCAGAAGAGTACTTAAGAGCCAATAATGTTAGGCTTCATTCAAAGATTTAGAGAATTTCCCCGGGTAGTGAAAACTAAAGTTGATATCTAAGTATCTTCAAACACATGAATGGATGTTCTTTAGGGAAGTATATTTATCTGGATCATTTGGAAAATGAATTTGGCTTCGTTTAAGAAAAAAATTACAGGAAAGTGATTTTTGCTTAATCAAAGAAACTGTCCTATCAGAGAAATCACGTGATTCCTGTCGGAGTAGACACATTGCATATCAAGAGGCCAATGCGGAAAGGAGCTCTCATCCTTAGAAGTGTTCACGCTTGGCTGGATACCAGTAAGGCAAGAAAAGCTGACTGGATATTTTACAGATTCCCATTTAATTCAAATATTCCAAGATTCATTAAAGAGTCACAGAAATATGCTAATGATCTAAAACATATCATACTTTTAAACAATGCAACAGTTTTTCTTGGATGGGAAGAAGAAATAATATAGTAACAGTAATTAGTGTTGAAAGTTTTCTATATGTGAGACAGGCAAACACATACACACACAAACTCTGAACTATTATTGAAATCCACATTTTATAGATGAAATGTATTGGAGGCATAATGATGTTATTTGCCTAAGGATACAAAGTTAGTAAGTACTGTAGTCTAGATGGAAACCCAGATGGTCCTAACCAATCTTAAACCCAACTTGACACTGTTTACATTTGTGTTGTCTTTTTTCACTTCTCCAGTATCTTTCACATCCTGTGGTGAACACATTCATAAACACTATGTGTTTTGACCTTTACAACAAATGAATAAAATTGGTTTAATTATGCCTGTGTTTTCAATAAAGAAAACGAGTTTCAAAGAGGTTATATCATAAAAAGCAATAAAGCCACAGCCAGAGTGCTAAGTCTAACGGCCCATGCCTGGTGTTTATATAGCTTATCATGGTTGACTGAGCTTTGCAAATCTAATTCAAATGTACCTATGACCCTTAATCACCTTAATCTTGCTGCCTTTGAGAGCACTTTTTCATTCAAAATCCAGAATACTAATATAAACATGCAGGGTGAAGCAGTAAGAGGTCACTTCGACTTCTTTATAAGGATAAAAGTTCCTCTTTCCCAAGTTCACCCTGAATTGTCCTTTTGATGCTAATGGGGTTCATCTCAGCCAACTAGGAGGAGGCAGGTGAATGATTTTTAATACATATGCTTCAGTTCACACAGTATTTTCTATAGCATGTGGGTGAGTTGAACCTCTGAGGCCCAGGGATAATTTTCATCTCTGTCCTTGACTCCAGTATTCTTTGGGCTGACACTCCTCGAGGTACATTTCTTCTATCTAATGAGAGGCAGATAAGAGAAATTGAATGTCTGAAGATACTTTTGAGTTATTGTTAGGTGTGAATATTTTTTGAATGGGTTATTAATGCTTATATCTTTCTATCATGCAGATCTTAGCTACTGTATATTAACCCTCCCAGCTATTGCTTAGGAAAGGCCTTTCATCTGAGCTCACTGGAACCATCGGTGTACCCTCCTAATTGGTTTCCTGCCTCTGGGCTCATGTTCTTGCTCTCTCCACATCATCCTCCACACTGCTACAGTCATTCTAATACACAAACTTATTCGTGTAACTTCCCTGACTAAAATTCTCTATTGGCTCCCTATTGCATAGAGGATAAAATCCAAATTCTTAGTCTTGCATGTAAGGACACTTTGATCCCAATCCATTCCTATGGTCTTTATCCTGAAAGACAAAACACACACAGACATAATACATAAATATCATACACAAGGACATATATATATATATACACATCTTTATATGTGCAAAAATCATGTCTTATCAATAGATAGACTGTAACTTGCCTGCCTTAGACAAATACATTCCCTTTACAACACTTATTCCAGTGTCATCCATAGTAGATGTTCAATAAACACATTTCCTCTAAGTGGTCTGGTACTATGGAGCTGTATGGTCTTGGATAAGTTAGTTAACTTCTCTGCAATTCATTTGCACCTTAGTTAAGTGAGATTGATTCAATCACTTCTTAAACCACTGATCAGATATTCTGAAAAACAATGTCACTGCATTATATCTACATCTCTCTCATACTTTTTTGTCAGTGGTTGTGACTGGACTTATCTTTGACACTCATCTAGCCCTCTTTATCACATTTGAGGTGTATGGTGGATTTTAAATTGTTTACTGGACTGTAATATAATTTGGACTTGGAAACATTCTGCTAGAGAATTTTTCTAGATTTCTTTCAATTTCTAATAGTCTGAATCTTTGATTTTCAAATTTAATTAAGTTAGTCATTTCAACATGACTATTGTATTAGAGGTATTATACAATTAAGTACGATAACAAATTTTATCACATTATTAAGTGACCTAAAGTAAAATTTTAGGACATTGTTGAGAAATACTGCATGAGCAGATTTGTCTTATTGTTATATAATTTATTAACATAAATTTTGAACTATCTGAGCACAGGTAGCTTCAACAGCTTCAGTATGTTCAATCGTAAAGCTGCTTAGGGAGTTGACAGCTATATTTTCTTATGTTAGGCTTTATAACACAACTATGTTATAAGTGTTATTTTATACGCCAAATTCTACACCAAAACACTTTGAAATATGAATATTCTGCATATACACTTATTTATCAGGAACTCAGAAGAATGAGGTGCTACACTTCAGCATAAATATAACACATGGATGTGAAAACAAGCAAAGAACAGCCTGACCGGTGCAAGACAGCCGTCAGTGGCTCCATTGCTCAGCCCTTTAAGGCCTCCTGCCCTCTGCTGTCTACTGCTGCATGCTCTTCCCCCTCTTTTTTTTTCAAATGTAATACAAGAATCTATGATGCCATGATGCCAGCAGAATGTCAGCTCCTCAGTCAGGCCAGACTATTGACCATCTTCATACCCAGCTTGTACTGTTCTTTGTCTACTGTTGTTTAGAAAACATCTATTTTCTAGAATCTATTCAAGGATTTGAAGCCTTACTTGATATATTCCCAAATGTCAAGCCATTAGAAGTGAACAACTACATCCTTTGTGCCTCCATACAAACTTCTATTGTATCATCAAAAATACTTATTTGGACTTTTTATCTTAAATGCCTGAGTCCACCCTCACCTTCTCCCTGCCTCAAGAAAGAGAGCCTCTTTGAGACAAAAACT